AAGTCGAGCACCTACGCGTTAGGGCTCGCTCTGGTATTGGCCTTAACTCAGCTTTTACCGCTTTCGTTGTAGACCCTGGACGGGGATTGCGTCCAGGGAATAGGATTATTGCAGCCTCTGGACGGGGATTGCATCCAGAGAATAGGATTGCGTGTTGGGAAACTAGCTGCTAGATCATTAGGTTAGATATGCATGCTATGTGTTAAACGTGCTTATCCTTGTTGCTCTGCCTGTGGCTATTTTTCTGTGGTTTGAGCATTAAATTTCGTATTTTCTGCTGTCTTGTGCTAATTTCGGTGAAATTTGCTTGGTGCTGTTTTTTGCTGATTTTCTAGGTGTCCCTGTGTTAAATTGTTGTTGTGCATTTTGCTGAATTTGCTAGTTTACATTGCTGGAAATCAATTTGTGCTGAAACTCTGTGGTTAAATTGCTGAAAATTGATTTGTGCTGAAATCTTTGTGAATTGAACTGCTGAAAAATCTGATTTTGTGCTGAAACTGAGTGTTTTTAAATTGCTGAAATTTGTGCTGGTATTTTCTGTGAAATATGTTGTGTTTTCTGTGAAAATGGCTTCGTTTCCAGCTTTTAATGTGGCCCCGTTTGACGGGAAATCTGATTTTTCAATTTGGCAACAAAAAATGAAAGGCATTTTAATTCAGCAGAGGGTGTTTAAAGCCGTTGAAGGCTCGTTTCCACCCGATGAACCTTCTGAAAAAATTGCTGAAATTGATCAATTTGCTTATTCGTCAATTATCTTGAATTTGTCTGACTCTGTGCTTAGGAAAGTTGGTAAACTTGATTCTGCTAAAGATTTGTGGGAAAAATTGGAAGAATTATATACTGAAACTTCGTTGCCGAGTAAATTATTCTTGCTTGAAAAATTTTTCCGGTTTAAGCTTGATCTTTCAAAAAATATTGATGAGAATCTTGATGTGTTTACTAAACTTGTTCAAGATATTAAATTGACCGGTGATAAGCATATTGATGATTATACTCCTATTGTGCTTTTAAATGCTATTCCTGATTCTTACAGTGATGTCAAATCTGCTATTAAGTATGGTAGGGATAATGTGACACTTGACACTGTTGTGAATGGATTAAAAAGTAAAGAATTAGATTTAAAAGCTCATAAGGGGAGTAAAAATTCGGGTGAGGTTCATTTTGTTAGAGGTCGACAACAACATAGATTTCAAAATCAAAAGTCTTCTAATAATATTGGTAACCAACCTGAAAAGAAGAAAGGTAAAGGAAAAAGTCGTTCTAAATCCCGTCCGAAAAATCGTAAGTGTTACAATTGTGGTGACATTGGACATTATGCTAAAGAGTGCACTAAACCTAAAAAGAATCAAGCTAATGTGGCCTCGTGTAGTGATAAACTTGGTGATGTATTTGTCGTGACTGAAATATGTGATATGCATGCTAATGTGAATTCTATGCATTCTTATCTTTGTGAAAATGAATGGCTTGTTGATTCCGGTTGCACTTTTCACATGTCTCCATATAGAAATCTGTTTTCAAACTACAAAGAGGTTAAAAATGGCTCTGTTTCTATGGCAAATGAGAAGTTTTGTGATGTTGCTGGTATTGGTGATGTGTGCCTTAAGTTTAATTCCGGTTATGTGCTTTGTTTGAAAAATGTTCGTCATGTTCCCGACTTGTGCCATAACCTGATTTCA